CAAACAAACAAACAAACAAACAAACCAACTCCTAAAGAAGCAAGGAAAATGAATTTCACAATCCCCAATTATTTCCAACATTTGAGAATAGCCCTGTTGGCCCACAGCATTACAGCCACTGAGGAGAATCACTGCTTCTGGCATCCCTGGATATTACAGGGGGAAAGGCTATCACATGCCTTCTAACCCAGTGGACACATGGACAAAAACTGAGCGGGGCTGAGATGAAGAATGCTGAGGCTTCCTTAGCTATTGTGTTCACCAACCTTTATGAGAATCATATTTCACATCCAGCAAATGCTCTTAATACTTTACTACAACACAGCAGCAGTAGAAATCGGAATGTAAACAAGGCTACCCCCCCTTACAAAAATGCCACAGCATTTAGTGAGACCCTGACCTGGTTTTATTACTTCCTTTCCACCTATGTAACAAACAACCAAAAACCCTCCACCAGGTCTGTGGCGATGCCTGAAAACATGGCATATTCCCTACCCCAACCCAAACACAACCGCACCCCATTTATTATGTGAGTGTGAGAAAGCTATGCTGTTGGTGTTAGCTGGAGGTTTAGGTTAAGCACCAAACTAAGATTACTGGCAGGCAGCAACAGCTTTCAGATTTGAAGGTGGGATGTAAAAGACATTCCTGCTGAAGATGCTTTTACATATCCTACTGCCATCTTTGGTCCAACAGATTTTGTAGTTTTTTGCAGTGCTTTAGAAACCTCAAAACCTGTTTTAGCAGAGACCATAGCAGGACCACGGACATGTGTGTGCGTGCCATGTGCAACAACGCCTCTGCATCCCATCCTGAAACTTCTTGGAAACCTTTGTGTGCAGCCTTCCTCCAACTAGTGCCCTCCAGTTGTGTTGGACTACAACTCTCAGTGACCCCTACACAACACTGCTGGCTGGGAGATGCTGAGATTTGTACTCCAACCCATCTGAAGAGCGCCAGGTCAGAGAAGGCTATTTTAGTAGATCTTCAAGGGTCCAAAGCCAAGTGTGTCTCTTAACAATATGGCCCTCAAATGCCATTTGAGGCCTAGTGGTATTGTTTGTAACAGGTCATCTTGTTTCTATACACTTCAATAAATTGGGTGCCGTTTTCAAAACTCGGATCCCTGAAGTTCTCCCTTTCTATGCCTTTCACAGTGAAGTTTAGACTTAGTTCTCACAAACCACATGTGGTGACAGACATCTGTCTGGACTGCAGCCCTTCACCTTTCAGGTACTGCTTGTGAGAACAAGCCTCTGTTTTGAGGTTCTGTCTTCTTTAAGATTCCATTCACAGAAATTCAAGTAGGATTTCCCTGCAAAATGGACTGAGTGCTTTCTTATAAAGCAAGCTTTACAAACTATGGAAGTCACGAAATGTGCAGTTCAGCTTGCTAAAGCCAAGCTAATTAAAGCAGATGGGACTAAAGGGCCAGTTAAATGTGACAAATTTCCGATGCATATAGTATTTCCATGCAGGAAAGAACATGCAAAACACAAGTAGATTATCACACTCAGTTTGTATGCTTCCCATGTAGGAAATTTGTCATATTTAAAACACTTCCCGCTCATGTCTGGTCTATATAAACAGGTCATCATGAAATCTACTGTTCCTGGACTGTACTACTTCAGACTTCAGTTGAGGAATTATACATCTGAATGCTCCTGCAATGTAAAACAAACTAAGTATAAGCCTAAGTATAGAAAATTAAGATGCCTCCTTAATATCTTGCTTAATATTTGCAGTGCATTCAAAAAGTACATGGAAGCAACATGGAATTATACAATCCCTGCCTACAACTGGAAACAGTAGTCAGGAAGTTTTAGTCACATGACAAGCTGTCTATCTAGATCTTAGTCTCATCCTATTGAAATATGTTGACCAACTTATATTTAGGAAGATGTACAGGATATAAGCTTTTCAAAGAAATCAGGCTGTTTGAGTCAAATATTTAAAGAGGGATCTTAAAAATTAATTTAGCCACCAGTTTATGTTGCAGAACTCCTGGCCATATTTATATCTGAAATGCTACCTGAATAAGGACTGCAGGGAAAGGGCACAATCTCCTCCTAGCAATTTCTCTTTCGAAAGCCCCACTAAGGTGGATGGAAGTTGTGGAAAGGTACAGCCAACTTGTTGCACAACTGCCACTCATTTCAAAGAGGTGTGTGCCAGAGATGTTGAAGCAGAGAATCCTTACCAACAGAATCCATCCAAATTAAGAGAGAGGGAGTGATAGGCATACCATTCCAAGCTAGGTCTTAGGTACTAAGTATGTTTGTGCTTGCTCTCTGCAAAGGAGAGAATTTAATCTTTGAAGAAAAGAAAATTATACTAATACTACTAAGAATGAATAGTTCTAGCCTTCTAAACATTTCAAGCTATTTAGCAAACTAGATTAGTTACTTTTTGATCCAGTTAGCTAGGTTAAAGATTTTGATTATTTTTAAAAGATATACTTTTAAATCTGTTTTTAAACATTCTAAGGCATTCTGAATTTTAAGTTATACAAAGTGTGCAAGTCAAAACAACTTCTGATAACAAAATAGTGCAGAGAGGCTATCACCACAGTTGGGTTGACCTTTTTGTTTTTTTAATCTACGGCTGCACATTTACTTTGTTAGGCTCCTTAATTAAAAAATAATCTTCTGTACATGGCAAAAATAGGACAAAACTGTTTCCTTTTAACACTGTCTGCATTAATAACATTTGCATTCCACAGCAGGCTCCAAGATGAATTATTAATATTTATATAGTGCCTTCAGTGTACCTGGCACTTTACAAAGTACAAAAAACAAAAGACAGATCCCAGCTCCAAGGAAGGGATGGTTTTGTAAATAGAATTCTACATATTAGTTGGAATAATAGGTGAATAATATGGACTGAAGTGTCTCTCTTTCATCCTTGTGCACAATGTTGAATTAAGCCTTTCTTTTTATGCCAGCACTCCAAAGCAATTTTTTAAAAATACTTTCCCCGTGCTATCCGATTTATTGACTTCCTCTAGCAGACTTAGGGCGAAGCCACGCAACATGCAGAAAATATGTGATCTGATCTCGTAATGTTTCTTTATTTTACTTTAAAACAGGCGCAGGAGGCTTTGGATTTGATCAGTGCAAGTAGTCTGGTGGAGGTGAGGGAGTGTGCATGCATTACTCTTTCCTCTAGCAAAGTTCCCCCCAGTCGAAATTGCTGTAAAACAGCTTTTAGCTCCACAAATAGAAAATTTCATTCTCCCCATTGGGGAAATGGCCAGCTCAGGTGGAGGTATTTAGAGCAGGGAAATGGCACCCAGAAAAAAGGAGTAAATGTTCCCCTTGCCAAGCACCACCATTCAAAGCAAATTTGGAGCCCCCTGAACCTGTTTAAAAAATAAAAAAGAAGGAAAAAGAAACACTGTGAGGTCTCCCATGTTACATAGGGCTTGGCCTTAAATATCGCAATTTTTTTTTGGTGAAACGCTTAAAATTTTAAAATGAAAGCGATTAATGTGTACAATCTAAGGGGTTTCTGTGCAGTATTATTTTCAACTTCACTTGTTGAATGTTCTTTGTTTAAAAGGATATGGAATATGGTTTTAAAAAACATATTTTGTTGGAGTTTTAGCAACTCCACTGAAAACTGTGACCATCAGTTAAGGCTGCTTAAAGCATAATATATATATATTTATATATTTGTATTTAAATAAAAACTTAATATTCAAGCTTCTCAGATTGATTAATTGGTAACACTAAAATGAAACTACTTACAAGAATAACTGACTGTACAAAATAGGATTAAACTGTTTTGAAATAAAACAAAAATAAAAGCCCTGCTTTGCATTAAAAACACAGAACTTGTTTACAAAAAGGAATGTATGAGACATTTTGACTTTCCTTCTATTCCACATAGCATTTCTATTTCAGTAAAGGAACTGATTTGTTAAATTTACATTGCAATGACTTTACCAAACATTTGCACTAGAGACTTTTTGAAAGCTTTTACAGTAAGAAATTATCAACAAAAGCAGGCACATTAGTGTACAAAAATGTTGCTGTTGATATTTTTTCTCCTTTTGAAAGTGCAGGTTTATCATGTGCATCTTACAAGATCAACTATGGTTTTAACTCTCACTAAATTTTAAACTTAAAATCTCCCAGGAATATTGTAAACATAAGAGGTTTTGATCAAAACTGCTCTTGGCCTCTCTTCATTGGTTAGAAATATATTTGCTTGAGAGATAAAGATGCTTCCTTCTATCTTTTTGTTGTTGTTCAGGCTGATTTTCTAAGGATACATTTTGCACTCTTAAAGCTGAGGATACCATGACGATTCATTGGAAGGGGAACGGTAGGGAACCTTTTGATTCATTAAAAAGAAAAGCAAAAGCAAAATTTCCAAACCCAATGATGATTGAGAACGAACCCTGAAATGTTCACCATTCAATCAGTACTGAAGAGATGAAAGATTCCACCAGACCGTGAAGGCAGAGTTAAAAGGTCCTAAAAGTGTCATCCCTCAGCAGCCCCAGCCATCTTTAAGGAACCCCAGAAAAAATGCACTTCACTTAACCCTAGTAGGTAGCTATAGATTTCAGTGGTAGAACCAAAAGAAACGGGGAAAGAGAAATCTTGACAAGATCATAGTGGAGAAAACTCCAACAGGTTGCAAAACGCGGGCAACTTTCTAAAACTCTGTTCAAGACTTCTCCATCAGAGAGGTGATGAAGAGAAAGTGTGCTAATCTTCAGAACAAGGAAGGCAAAGCAGTTTGGGCCACTGTTCCAACTTGCCACCAGATCCAGCGGAACAGCACACACCAGCCTGGGGACACACTAGGCATTTTACTCACATCTACCTCTTCTGACAGGCTCTTGGAGGAGTCCGTGCTGCCCACGCTCTGTGCCTCACCTCGGTCCTGCCAATAAGCGTTTTGTCCCCTTTGCCCACATTCACCTGCTGCCCCCGCCGGGCGCCCTGGCCGACTGGCCCCGCAGGCTTCCGGAGGGGACGGGCCTGTGCCTAGATGCGGTTGGCACAGGGTTCCCGGGGATAGATGTCCTCGTAGGCAGGAGGCTGCTCGTTGGGCAGCGGGTAGCAATACGGGTAGGAGACGTTGAGGTCGGGGTCCATGGGAGAGTAGCCGGGCAGCTCGATGGAAGGGTGGCCCCCGCAGTGCACCTCCACGCCGGCCTCGTCGAAGACGTGGAAGACGCCGACGTTGATGTAGGAGACGGCCTGGAAGGTGCAGTCGCCTCCCGGGGACAGGTCCGGGTCCTCGCTGGAGAAGATGGAGCCTTGACTTTGGCGCTGCGGCCGCCGCCCCCCGCCCGAGCCACCGCCTCCGCCGCCCCCAGCGGCGCCGGGGCCCCTGCGCCTCCGCCGGCGGCCCCCCGAGAAATTCTGTTCGTGCCTGCGGCGGCGCCGTCGGCGCAGCCCTCGCTGCTGGGCGGCCTTGTAGTTCTTGACCAGCAGCAGGTTGAGCAGCCCCAGCAGGCACTCGAGCGCGTTGAAGATGGTGGAGATGACCAAGCCGCGCTGATAGTCCCGCAGCTTCTGGCAGCGCAACGCCGCGGCGGAGCCGTCGGGGCCCCCCGCCGGCCGCGCCCGCGCGGGCGCCCCCGCCCCGCCTCCGGCCTGCAGGAGGCAGTAGTGCGAGTACTTCTTCTCCACGAGCGACACCGTGTCGCCGTCGATGACGGCCCCGGCGAAGGCGCTCAGCACCCCCAGCATGAAGACCAGCACTCCCAGCAGGAGGAAGTTCTGCCTCCCGCCCGGGGGCGCCTTGGGGGCCGCCTGGGGCGCGGGCTGCGAGTCCCCGGTGACCGGCACCGCCGCCACCTGGCTGCCCGTGCGCCCGTGGCGGTGCGCCCCGGCGGCGCTCTCGCCGGCCGCCGCGTCGTCCGGCTGGCGGCAGCAGAAGAGCGCGGAGCCCAGCAGCGAGAGGCCGGCGGCCAGCAGCAGCCCCGAGTAGAAGGCGCCGGCGGCGGTGCCAAGGCGGAAGGGCTCCCCCTTGAGTTCGGAGCCGAGCGAGAAGCACTTGAGGCCCACGGCGGCGGCGCTCAGCGCGCAGGCGAGCAGGAGGCAGCTGGAGAGCGCGGCGCAGGCTCCCCGGACACTCCACTTCATCCTCCGCGTCTCCTCCGCCACCTGCGCCTCCTCCTCCCTGCCTCGCCTCCTCCGCCTCCCACCGCCTGCGCCTCCTCCTCCTCCTCCTCCTTCGCCGCCCTCCTGTCCTCATCCTCCCGTGTCCTCCTCGGCGCCGGCGGCCTTTGCCGGGGAGGTGGCCGCCGCGCGCTGCGGGGACATAATGATGGTGACGGTGCTGCGAAGGGAGTTTTCCAAATGCGCCGCTTCTCTTGCCGCCGCCGCCGCCGCCGTTGCTTTCGCTGTCACCGCCACAGCGGCGGCCGCTGCTGCTGCCGCCCGCCGCCGCCTTCTCCTCTGCAGGCAGCCAGCAGCCGGCAAGCGCGGCTTGCGCACACGCGCTTCCCTCCCCGCCCCGCCGCCTGCCTCCCTCTCTTCTTATTGAAGCCGCCGCCGCCGCTCTCGCCCGCTCTTCGCCGCCGCCGCCACTGCTGGGAGCCAATGAATTATTGACGGCTGCAAGTTCCGAGTAGAGCAGGGGCAACAAGCAGAGGGAGGGGCCGCGCTGCCGCGGGGTGCGGGGCAGGGGGAAGAGGGCCTTGCCGGTACAGCCCTCTCGCCGCTGCCCTCCCGCGGGGCGCGCGTGGCACAGCCAGCGCCGTCCATTCCCCGCGACGACTGCGTCCCTGTGTGTTGGACGGCGGGGAAGGAGGCTTGGAGGCCGCCACCTACCGGCCCAGCAAAATCCTAGGCAGCTGGAGAGGACTCGCGCCGTCTGGCTGCCTCGAGGGCGCTTGGCAAGGAAGAAGCGCCGCCGTAGTCCCCTCCTTTCCTTCCGCACGCCCCACGGCAGTGGTAGCGCCCCTTCCGCCTCCCCATTCCGGAGTGTGAACTTCGAATCCGGCTCACGCCTGGCAGAGTCCTTCGCGCCCAAAAGGAGGCGCCAAAGTTGCCGCAGCTGGAGGGGCTCTCCCGTTTTCCCAGCCGCCAGCCCCGCCGAAATGCAGCCCGGAGATGTCAAGAATTAGCTTTAAAAGGAGCAACAGCAGCAGCAAAAGCAGGGGTGGGGGGGCTTTTCATTCATGAACGGCACGACTCATTCCTTCCCTGCCTCTCACCACCCGTGCATCTCGCCCGTCGCTTCGTAGCTGCTGCTCCTGCTGCCTCGGAGGGAAGATTCCCCCCTCGCGCTCAGCATGGGGCGCGTCTTTGCCCTTCCCAGCCCCTTTGAAAGAGCGCGTTGCATCGTGACAAGTTGCTCTGATGCGCGCACCTTCCCCCCCCCCCGCTTCTTTTGTCTTTCCTTTTAGCACCGAATGCAGGAGGTTTCACACGCGCGAGATGGTCTGATTTTTAAACATAGGGAAGAACCCGCTCAGCCGGGGAGCGAGGAGGGCCCTAAGCGAGCGGAGCGCGTTGCCCAAGTTGCTCCGCGACGGCGCCGATCCCTTCCAAAGCGCGCTGGAAAGGAGTGGAGAGCTGGGAACCATCGGTGGCCTTAGGCGGCCTGCGCACTGAGGAGGCCGAGAGGCGGCACCAAGCGGCTGAAGTTGGTCGCTCGGTCCCTTTTCCTAGGCGCGAACAGCCATGCTTGAGCGGCCTGAGAAGGCACCCGAAGCGCACGGTTTGGGTTCTAGGCGTATACCTTATGGGGTAACTTGCCCCCGAAAAGTCTCTCCGTCAGGGAGGTGTTGTGAGGCAGGGTGAGTGTGGAGCTACTTATTTCCCCCTGAAAGGCTGGGGCTCCGTGCATGCTTACGAGCAGCCCGGTGTCGGAAACGCAGGCGAGGGATCCTGAGCACGCAGATTCTGTCTTGCTTCTTGAAATCAAGGGCACCTCGCTTAAACGAGGCGCTTCGGGGAGCGATGAGCGCTGCTCTGCTCCGTGCGAGCGAGAGGCGCCCGGACTTTGCCTTGGCAGTTGCGAGGCGCTCAGCTGCAGCCTCGCAGCGCTCCGGCCACTCGCCGAGGGAATCCCATCTTTGCTTCTGTGCCTGGCTTTGCTCGGTGGCGTGCCCGCTCGGAAGGGAGGAAGCTGCCTTCCACCCACTGGACTTCCTGGCCTAGGGATTCATTCATTCATTCAGGCGGGCAGCAGCGTGGTAAGGGCTCAGGCTGACTTCCTCCCCCTTCCCTCTCTCTCTGCCGGGTCTTGCTTCTGGAGATCCTCCTGGCAAGTGCAAGTTCCAGGCTCCACGGGTGGAGAGCAGCTCCTCCTTTGAATGGGGGTCCAAATCAAACACGAGAACCTGCGGATCAGGACCTCAGCCCCCCAGTTCCGTGCTCTGTTCATACAGTGGCCAACCCACAAACAGGACCTTCCTGCTCATGCTCCTCAGCAACTGGCCTATGGAGGCATAGAACTGATAAAGACGTCTGGACATGTGGCTATTCATAGTCCTTTTCTCCAGGAATTGGCCCATTCCTCTTTTAAAGCCATCCCGATTGGTGGCCAGCACTACTTTCTGGTAGCTGTCACAGTTTAACTGGCTTGTTTGAAGATACTTTTTCTTTTTTCTGTCTTGCATCTCCTACCAGCTCCATGGGATTCATGAATTCAAGTATCATGGTAGAGGGAGAAAAGTGACTTCCTTTCTCCAAAGGAGGTTGGACTTGATGACCTTATAGGCCCCTTCCAACTCCACTATTCTATGATTCTGTAAATCATACCTTGCACAATTCGATTATGCCTCCCCTTGATTGCGTTTTTTTCTAAGCGCTGCAATGTTACAGCCTTTCCCAACCACTCCAGATGTGATCTGTAAGTCCCAGCATTTCCAACCAGCAGCTATTTGGGGATGCAGAGAGTTTTAGCTGGGCATGTCTGGGGTTGTGAAGTTGGGGAAGTTTGGTCTCCATGATGAATGAGCAAAAGAAGCATCTGTCAAAGGGAATTCTTTCTTTGTGCAGCTCTGAGCATCTTGGGCCTGCAAAGGAGGGCATTGAACTAATATAGCCCGGCTGTGATCTTATACTCCCTCTGAAGTAAGTTGATGCATACAGGATTGCACTTTAATCAGCCTTAAAACAGCTTGTGGTGTTGCTCAAGCAGTGACGGAAAGTAATATTCTAGGGCAATTGGAAGGCTCTGTTAAGCACACACACATGCCTTGAATGGCAGCACCCTTTTGGGGGAAGACGCTGTAAATGTTAAACTGGCTTACGATGCAATCTTAAATGTGCAGGGAGAGAAAAGGTCCTACAAATAAAGCGCAGAGTTAGCAGCACGGATTGCAAGCAGGTGCACCTCATTGCACTCCTTGAGGATTTATATTCAAGCGTGCATGCATAAGCCTGCACAGCACGTCTCCCTCCAGTTGCTGTTGGATAATTGTTTTACCTCTCCTGCCGTCTTCTTCTTGAATAATAATAATGATGGTAAAGAGCCGGCAAGACACTGCCAGAGCGAAGCAGGCAAGCGTTACTTCCTCCCTTGCCTGAGTGCTGTGCTCTTGAGAGGTGGAGAGAAAGATGTGGGAGAAAGCTTAAAAGCCAGAGGACAAAAGAAACAGCTGGACTCGGTTCAGCCATCCCTAGCCTGGTGCCCTCTAGGACTACAACTCAGTATCCCCTAGCCTGGGGGTGCTGAAAGTTGTGGTTTAGCCTACCTGGAGGGCACCACATTGTGGGAGGCTGCTGTGTGTGGGCCCATGAAGGTGAGCTGTTGGGGGTCACGCGGATTGCCCAGGGGGTGAGATTCATGGGACAGGTTAGTCATGCCTAATAAAGTGCTTTTGAATGAAAAGGGTCTGCTCCAAGCATGATCCAGGCAGGGTGGTGTTGCTTGAAAGCAAGACTGAATGTGTGCATGGGGGGGGCAGGCAACCCCCACCCCCAAGACTGGCTGTTCCACCTCCAGGTAGGCAGTGCCTGTGAATCAACTGATACACAGTTTCCTGGGAAGGAAAAGTGACATGACTCTGATGTTCTCCTGACGGGGATCAGCTTTGCCTGTGCTCGGGGCGTCATCTCCACACTGCACCCCCACCCCCACTTGCTCTTCTCCTTTGCTTGCTCCCCATAGACTTTCTTTTCTTGTCCTGCTGCTGTAGCACTCTCGAGAGATCAGCCCAATCCCTTCCGCACATCCCTTCTCCTTAATGGGATTTAAAAAATGAAATAAAATTGAAAAGATCATGCTGTTTTCGGGCCAACCATTACACGGCAAGGCTGAAGTGCTCAACTCCCCCTCCCCACCACTCCTCTTTCCCTTCACATGTCATCAGGTAACAGGCAAAGAGGGGAACTCTCTTTCTGCTAAAAAGCAGGGTGCATCTCTACTTCAGAGTGCTGCTTTTAAGAGCGGCTAGTTGAGTGCCTTTGATGTTGACGGGTGTTTAGCATTTGTCGGTAGTTGAAAGCTAACATGCAGTGCGGCTGGGACTTCATGGCAGACTGCTTCTGAAATTCCATGTTTGGTGCCTTCCAAAATCAAGGCTACCAGGGCATCCATTTTGAGGCTGAATTCCAGGTCGGCAATTGAAATAGTGAACGAGCAATTTCACTTTCAGCTACTGAATAGTAAAACTGGCATTTTTCTGACTAATAGCTATAAGAGATGGACCAAGCTTCAGAATAACTGAGAGTCCTGTGAAGAGAAAAAGGCTCATGGTGATTGCTAAGATCTGCAAGGCCAAACTATCTTCCTCAACTGACCCTTTTTAAGAAAGACCACCAAAACTTGTACCGGTCCACCCCCCCCCCCCCGCATTGGAACAAAGTTGACTTTCAAAACACAAGCACTTGGCCATTCATAGTCTCCGAGTTATGAATGTTCAAGTTACAAATAACCCATTTTTGCAAACTGCCACGAAGTCTATTAATTAAAAAAAAATTACTGCAGAAAATCATCACTAAAGAAAGAGAGGAAGCAAAAGGGGAGAGAGGGAGGCCTTCAAAGCATGCCTTCTCGCTCCATCCATCTGACAGGGAAATCCTTCTGGCATCTCCTTGCTGCAAAGAGGATGTGCTGGTGAGTTTTGATGGAGGGTGAGGTACAGAGATGTGTAGTTTTTCCACTTTCACAGAGGACTTGTACTCCT